TTCAGAGACCTACCTGTTTGTTTTGCTTGAGGACAAGCAAAAAGGTAAGTCTCAGGGAGTTGATATACAATGATTTTGACATGTTTTTAGTCATGGTATATTAGTGTTTTTACTACTATTTACTATTTTATAGAAGCTTTTAAGCATATTTATGAGATCGGGAGTATTTTGGAAGAAAGTGATGTTATTGGAGCATTTTGAAGAGAATTGGAAGAAGCGCTCGGTTCAGACGTGATCACGAGGTCGACACAGAGAGACCTGGATCGATGGACATGCATCTTGCATGATCGATCGATTTTCAAGACCCAGAATCCAATTCGAGAGCCAAGTTTACTTGAAGCCCAATCATCACCAAATGACAGTTTTAACCCTGATGAGTTTTAACATATTATTATAGATTTTGTCAAAGTGTTAGAGGCAAAGAGGAGGTTCTTTTTGGTGAGGATTGAAGAAGAGAATTTTTAGAGAGCTTTTTGTATTCTTTTCACAGCCAAAGTTTGAGAGTTTTTAGTTTTGGAGAGAAGATCTTCAAAGAGATTTGAGATTTGAATTCCAGTGTTTTCTACCTATCTATTTATTTATAATATGCGGTTTTATTTATTTACTTGTGTTATGCATTGCTTGGCTATGTCTGAGTAGTTTACTTGTTAGATTTAGGGTTTAAACAGGTTTGAGGGATTTGCCCGAAGTATAGGATTGCTAGTTGTGATACTTATTGATAAGATTGTTTTAATTGCTCATGGTTCCAGAGTAGCTAACTAGAAACATTGAATCTTGGATTATTTAGGTTGGATTAGAGACATTTAAGTAATCCTAAATATCTAGAATACATCTTTATCAAACTAGGATTTGTTAGAAACAAAATTGCATAATTTTATTTAGAAATCTTTGGGAGTGACTCGTGTCTATTGCTTGATTAGAGTCATTGATCCATATTCCTATAAGAAATCGGTCGATGATGAGTTTTGTGTATCGATAAATTATCCCATAGATAATCGCTCGACACTGCCAATTGCGGCCATCTGATCATTAGACTTTTAGTTCAACAGAATAGTTAATATTCTTTAGTATCTCTCAAGAAACTAGATAGCATCCTATAGGATTATAATCCTGAAAACCTGAATAAAAACCCTAAGTCTAGAATCTTTTCCATATTTGTTTCAGAAGTCAAAATTTCCATTTTAGATGAAGTAATTGTCGTGCTTAATTGGAATATTTCCTTACTGCCTATCTACTTTTTTTACTATTTATACATTCACCTAGAGTTGCATTCAAATATATTTATTATATTCCTTAGCTCCTTGTGGATTTGATCCCTAAGTACTACAGCTGAACCTCTTATTTGGGAGATTAATTCACTCCTTAGGATAATTTGAGTGAGTATCAAATTATGCAATTATGTTTCTAACAAATCCTAGCTTGATAAAGATGTATTAAGGATATTTAGGATATTTAGGGTAATTTGAGTGAGTAACAAAGAGAGATCGAAACCATAAATGGGCTAAAGGTTAAGAAGTGAGGTTGATGAGAGTAGTGGTTACCTCTAGGGTTTTCCGTCTGTGTTGTGCTTCACTCTAACTCCCTTTTTATAGCCTCTTTCTTGACCGACTCCTTGCAATTGTCACCGCTATCTTCGGGATACTGGTTCAACCTCGTCTGGCTCGATATGGGTAGAATTCATTATTGATGGTGAAGCATGGGCCTGGACATGTCTAAATCTTCACTGAAATTGGGTCCAACAATCATTCACAGGCACGGGTATATTCTTGCAAAAGAGTAAACATGATTTTTCGAAGTTAATCCACTGGCCTAAGACTTTCCCATAATTCTTAAGCGCTTTCATGATTTCATCGCATTCACGGGGCTTTGCCATAGAGAAGAAAAAGATGTCATCAACAAAGAGTAGGTGAGATACCGGAGGGATAGCGGGTGATACGCACATCCTTGTTATCTTGCCTTGATTCTATATGTGAATGAGAAGGCTAACGAGCGCTTCTATGTATAGGATAAAGATGAAATTGAGACAAAGGATCTTCTTAGCGTACTTCCCTCTTGGGAGTTATATTTTCTCTTGGCTGGCCACAGAGATCTCACCGTCAGCTTGACCTCAAACTGATGATATGGGAAAGCTAACTCACTATCTTGTGTCAAACGATGAGTTCAATCGCAGTATGGGAAGGTCTCCATCCATAGATAAACTTCTGACGCGTCTGCGCAGTTCTGCATCTCAAAAATATCCAGAATCTCCAAAATTCTCTGTAACGTACCGGAACCTGAAAACACTCTAAAACATACTCCAAACCCATATAGTAGACTCTATATAGAACATATATCATGACCCAAAAAATGTAAAATCTATGGTATATCACTACCATGAGCTAACCTCCCACCACGACGAGGATGATGATATCATTTAAGTTACCCTAAGGAGTGACTTTACTCTCACATATAAGAGGTTAACCTGTAGTACTTAGGGATCGAATCCACAAGGAGCTAGGGAACACATTAGATCTAAACAGCTATGAATAATCTAGGCAAGTAAATAATAAAACAGTAAATAATTATAAACTAGTAAATAAAGCACTAAACAAGATGAAAAAACAATTGTTCAGCTTGGCAGAGAGTTGTTTGATGGAAGGATGGTTACTAGACTTAGGGTTTCATTCAGGTTATTTAGAACTATAATCTATAGATGCTAAGAAATGATTCTAGAACTCGATATCTAATGCAAAAAGCAACCAATATTAACTGTGAGTCGAATCTATCTACTAAGTTCAGTGTTTTAGTATTCGTATTCTAACACGAATCGAGCGTCGATCGATGCTATGGTATGAGCATTGATTGATGTTTCCTTAGGCAAGCGTTATCGATCTGATTGATTATGTTCAACTAGATTCCTAGAACAACACTAGTATGCGCCTAGGTATCTAATCCAACAGGTCTTGAATTCCGTTAATTTATTGCACTCTTGTGCCTCTCAATTCTCCTATGATTTTAGGAACAAACAGTTAGTCACACTGTCTATTCTAACTATTCCAAATCCTAGTATTACAAGCTACCCTGGTGTAGAGATATATAGTATCCTATCCTAGCAATCATGTAATTCAGAAGTTCACTCAAAACCCTTGAAATTCCTAAACCTAGCAGGTGGATCTACTCATGCATGATAGTTATCACATAAATCATAGATGGAGAACATGAATATAAATAAAACCATTATCAATGGAGTTCCTCTCTTCTCTCGTAAATAAAAACTATGACACAAAAGATGAAAAAACCGTAGCCATCAACAATGGCTTACAAAACACATAAATAGAGTTTTTGGTTGTCTAAGGGTAACTTGGTAATTTGGGTTTCTTCTAGGTTTAAGTAAGTCTTGAAATATACATGACCCGCGTTATGGGATCCCCATCGATCGATACATTTAGTTCTGCATCGATCGATTTTCTTTTATCTTCTCGACAGCTTCCTTTCGCGAAATAGTCTGACCACTATTCAGTAAAATGGGCATAACCTCTTCTACATGATGTTGATTGACCTCAAACCGGGGGCATTGGAAATCTAACTCAAAGATCTATCTTTTGTCAAAAGATGGATTCAATCTAACAGTGAGATGGTTTCCATCCGTAGCTAAACATCTGACGCGTCTGTGCATTTTTGCACTCAAAAGATTCCAAAAGATACCAAAATCATCATATTTCTCCAGGATGTACTTGAACCTATAAATACTCTAAAAAGAATCTATAATACAAAAAATAGTTATTACAACACTTATATACCATAACTAAAAGTGGGTCGAAATCATGGTATATCAGGCGACAAACCAAAATCACCATCAAAGTAGAGAATCAAGAGAAAGAAGATTGATCGGTAAAAATGAACAAGGAATCGAGGATCGATTAAATTTGGGCTCAAAACTTTGATACCATATTAGAAAAAAATATGATGAACATAATGGAGAATCAGCTTCACTCAACCATGGTATAAGGATGAGCTCATGAGCGAGAAGATACAAAGAAAATATTATCTGTTATTGATTCATGAAAGTGTGAATCACACTTTGTACATGTTTACTCTCAAACCCGGAATAAACCAATTCTCTCAATATAAAATCTAGTTACAGTTGACTAAGACTAAACCACAATAAACCAATCGCTACTTTAAGTGTATGTCAAAATAAAATAATTATAGTTGTATGTACGAACAAGCCAGAAGAATTAAATTTATTTTATTATAATTATTGGTGTGTAAATTAATGGGAAAATTGACAAAATAATCTTCAACTTTCGAAAATAAGCCATTAAAATCTCCAACTCACAAACAAGCCATCATAAAAGTTAAATGTAAAACCTAAACACATTATTCTTAATAGTATAATCGCATATACTCAATAGACGATGAAACAAGTGAAAATGAGGAAATCAAGTGCGTGAAAGGGATTTCCAGTAGCTGATGTATATAATTTTTTTAATTCATTTTAAAATATTATATATAAACTTATTTGAACATATATTATTGATTTAGTGATTACAATCGATATGAAAAATTATATTTTTTTAATTCATTTTAAAATATTATATCTAAACTTATTTGAACATATATTATTGAGTTAGTGATTACAGTCGATATGAAAAATTATATTTTTTTTTATTAGTTAAAAAAATAAATTTTAGTTAAAATAAATTTGATGATTCTAAAAATTGAAGATTAAAATGGTTTATTTGTGAGTTAAAGATTTTTTTGACTTATTTTTAAAAGTTTGCGGTTATTTTGTCAATTTTCCCGTAAATTAATTACAATGTTTTTGACTTTTTGCGCGCGCCCACCAGAATTGGAATTTTCTAGTCGGTTCAACGGACCTGTTAAACATCTCAGCTGTCACTTGATCTTCTCTACTCATCTCAACCGTTGATTCCCCTTACCCCGACCTACGCGACCTGTCAACAAAAATCTACAAAAGGCCCATCTTAAAACTTTCCCGGAAAATCCCTAGAAACCTCCAAAGAACCAACGAACCATCGTTGAATCTCATACCAAATCATTTTCTCCAATTTAATTTATATAAACACTTAATATTTCATCTATCAACCCAAGTAGATGAAGAAATGGCGAGCTTGAGCACGAGTTTGCTCGGGAAAAGACGAATGTCCAAGTCCAAGGCACAAGATAAAACAAAAAACACTGTGTTGTGTAAGATGCACCCAAAGCACAGGCAATCACCTGGTGTATGCTCTCTCTGTCTCCACGAGAGGCTCTCTATCTTTATCAAAGCAACTTCCTCTTCTTCTTATTGTTCTTTACGTTTACGAAAAGCCCGTCACATCATATACTCTTCCTCAACAACTTCTCTGTCCTCCTCATCAACTGTCTCTTCTTGTCCTTCTCCTCTTGTGGATCGCCGATGCTACTTGTTGATGGCTGGAGGCAGCGGCCGAGAAAAAAGGAGTTTATGGATGACGAAAAGCGGATCAGTGGCATATAAAGTAGATGATGAGAAAAGAAAGAAGAAGGCGACGAGAAGTGGTTTCTTTTTTCGGTTTGGTGGATTCAAGAAGAGAGAACAAGAGAGTGTTGTAGATAATTAGATCTGATGGTTATTATCTTTTTATAAATATTTTATCATCTGTTCCTGGTTGTTTCATTCGTTATAATTGGTAACGTATAGAAGACTAGAGCTTAGTTTTGTATCTTAGGCGACATCCGATAAAATTTAGCATTTTGAGATTCTTGTATGTAAGAATTAGAGAATTAGAGAAAGTTTTTCGATGAGATTATGCTTGAAATTATCAAAGAGAATAAGATAGAACTGAGAGAGAGAGTTTACGGAAGAAGAATAAGCTTTATTCTCATACTGATTTAATTGTTACAGGAGTTCTATAAATAGAATAAAGAGTTGACAAGTAATATAATATGAACTAATAAACAAGGGAAATCTGATCTAGGTCAGGGCACGTTCAGCTGAACGGAAATGGACAACTCTTCCTTCTCTTTGTTTCTTTCCAAGACATGTGACTCTGGTTTGGCATAAAACCCCAAGAGTTCCTCCTACTTGCTTCCACATGTTTATTTAACTCTAAAACTTAAGGAACCTTAGACCAGATATTTAAATCTTTGTTCCCTCTTTTACTTGCCTTTCAACACTTCATTGTACTTCACTTTATTACTACTGTTCTGGTTTATTACTTCATCTCAACACTCCTCTTCAAGTCAAGCTTGGAAGCCATGAAGCATTCCCTCATTAAAACCTTAGCAAGGTAAAATCTCTTGAGATAAAATCCAAGGCAAGGAAAAAGAGTAGAACACTTCATGGAGAGGAGAATCAGTGAGATGAGAGATCTATGAGTCCGAGCTTTGAATGGATGAACTCACAAACCATTGTACTGACGGCTTTGGTGAAGATGTCAGCTAGCTGATCTTCACTTCTGGTATAGCATGGCAAGATGATTTGTTGCTCCACAGCTTGCTTCACCTTGTGCCAATTCACCTCTATGTGTTTAATCCTCTTATGGAACACATTGTTGGAAGCTATATGAATTGTCGCAGTGCATGGTGATGGGAGTTGTAGTCTCTATGCCCAAGACCTTCATCAGATTCCTTATCCAAATCAACTCACTAGTAAGCTTCCTCATAGGCCAATATTCAGCTTCAGCACTTGAACATGACACTATCTTTTGTTTCTTGCTTTTCCAAGTAACTAAGTTGCCTCCAATGAAGGTGCAATAGCAAGCTGTGGACCTCCTATCCAATCTATATTTAGTCCAATCTGCATCACAATACCCAACAATCTCCGTACTCTTGTTGCAGCCTAACCAAACTCCTTTTCCAGGTGTCTCTCTCAAGTATCTGAATATCCTCTCCACCATGTTCCAATGATGGATCTTAGGCGCTTGCATATGCTGGCTGACTTGGTTTACTGCAAAACACATATCCGGCCTCGTGATAGTAAGGTAGATGAGCTTCGCAACCATTCTCCTATATCTCTTGACATCTTCAGATGGTTTGTTCTCCATCTCCCCCTCACGTAATACCTTGTACCCATCTTCTAGCGGAGTCTTGCCTCACTCAATAAAATCAAGTGTGTACTTCCTTTGAGATAGAAATAGTCCCTCTTTAGATCGGCACATCTCAATCCCAAAGAAGTACTTTAGCTCACCCAACTCTTTGATATCAAATACAATGATGATGATATCATCCACATATACCTTCCTTGTCACTTCCAGTGATGATGATATCATCCACATATACTAGAATTACTACAATCCCTTGTGAGTTGGTGAGGGTAAAGAGAGTATGGTCTGTCTCATATTTCACAAACCCTCTTCCATTGAGTGTGGTGAAGAGCTTGTGGTACCAAGCTCTTGGTGATTGCTTTAACCTATAGATGGCCTTCTTGAGTCTTAGAACATTCCCGGGCTTGACTAGATGCTCTAGACCAGGAGGTGGTTTTATGTAGACTTCATCCTCAAGCTCTACTTGTAGGAATGCATTCTTCACATCCATTTGCCATAGATCCCACTCTAAGTTGACTGCTAGAGATAAGATGATCTGGATGGTATAAAGCTTAGCTACTGGTGTAAAGGTGTCTAGGTAATCTTCTCCATAAGTTTGAGTGAACCCTCTTGCCACCAATCTAGTCTTGCATCTCTCCAGAGTACCACCAGCATTGTATTTGATGGTGAAAATCCACATGCTGGTCACTACCTTCTTCCCTTTTGGAAGTTCAGTTTCATACCACTAATTATCATGGCATTGGTCTCATTTCCCACTGATTCTCTCCACACTTTATGCTCCATAGCTTTCTCATAAGTCCTTGGAATGTATCCCTGATCCAGTGTACCCATGAATACCACATGATCTTGAGGGTACTGAGCTAGAGAGAACACGGCCTAGTAGGATGAGCCACTGCTTGTTCATTGAAATAGACCCTTTGTTGGGGTCAAAATCGGTACGACGGAATTAATGGCCAAAACTTTCCGCAAGAATACAAAAAGAACAGTTTATAAAGCTCGAGAATCGCTTTATAAAACTGGAAGAATCATTTTATGAAACTCGAGAATCGCTTTATAAAACTCGAGAAATCGTTTTATAAAACTCGAGAGCCGTTTTATAAAACTCGAGAAATCATTT